TCATATTATAGAAAAGTAGCAGTGTCAATGTTTTGCTATGGGAAACCCGAAATATGTTACTATCAAAAAGAAAAATAGGAGGTCACAATGGCACTTCGTAACAAAGAATCTGTGAAAATAGCATATTTCACTCAGTGGTGTAAGAGGAGATGGAAACCTCAAAGCGTAACAGATGGACGAACAGACAGGTTGACATCCCGATCGCTATAAAGTATATGCTCTCCCACTTTTCAAACGGGGGTATAAATACCCTCCAACTTTATAAGAGGGGGTATAATAAAATGAGGTGACGCAAAAAGACATTAATTGGACCACTTTTAAGATGATAGTATCATAATTTTATAATGATAACCAATTCTATACGCAAGAAAGTCCAAAATTTTAAAAATTATTACGATGTACACCCATATCTCATACGCTCAACATCTGGCTAAATTAGTATGCAAAGAATCATCTTCGCTAGCCACAGGCTAGCCGAGATCTACTCTACAACGTCGTCGAAGACAATTGGCTAGCGAAGATGAGAATGTCACAGCCTTCATAATTCAAAAGCCGAACAAGTTAATTTTCCTGGTACATTGTAGATACTTGCAGTGTTCATATACACGTAGCATCAGAGGGGCTGGGGGAGGGGGGGGGGCTCAGTCTGGAAAAAAGGGCTCCCTCTTTTTTTCCAGACATAAGTTTTTACTATGGAAAATGTTCGTTTAAAGCCCCCCCCCCCCTTTTTGGTTGCAACACTGTCAAATAAGGGTATAATAAGGGAACTGTAGTGTTTGAGTGAAAAATTTCGTACTGAAAGAATTTTCTTTGAATTTTTTTTTCTCAAACTGGCCCTTCAAAAACGATGCAACGTCACTGTGGTGTTACTGTTGAATCACAGATTACTTTACAATTTTTTTTCCAAAAAATAAATATTTACTTATGTGATATGAATTTAAACCGAGGTCAATGACCTAAGTTCAGTGACTCGTACATAAAGATAAATATTGATAACATACTACGTTATTGGAACTTAACAAATGCGCAGAATGTTAAACTTGTGCTATCTTCTGCACATTTGAAAGAATATATCCGGGGGGGGGGGGGGTCCTCTCGTCAAGCTCCTGTGAAACTATACTTACTGGAATAGGACAGAAGCTTAAAATATATGACCCCTCTCAGAAATGCACGTACCTTTATGTAATGATTAGTTTACGCCACGCCCCTCCTCCAAAAATCCTCTTTTCTTCCTTGCAAGAAATCTATAGTTAATCAAAATAATCAATAAAACTATCGTATCACCAGTCATAAACGTATATTGGGAGGGGGGGGCTTATCCGTGATATTGACACCATAAAACTATTATTTTTATAATTAAGCAATTAGCAAAATTGACCTATGTGCTGAGTATTTGCTGTGTATATTACATCTTATGCTATGAGGAAAAAAATCAATTCATTTTTTTAAGAAAAATGCAAAAACTGATAAAATTCAGTTGAACCGATATGGTAATTAATTGAAAAAAAAGAAAAGAAATTCTATCATTATAATTTAACGTAAAAAAACATGTGTAACTTTAAAAATAAATAAATAACAAAATAGTATTTTAATAATGTTGACTGGTCAACTGTTTTCTTAAGCACCATCCAGTTGCTATGCACCTACAATGTAGAATAAACAAAGGATCGACTCTTGTAAACCGATTTCACGTACGACTTATCAAAATTTCTGAACTGGCACGGAATATTGAAGATAAAAAAAAAGTAAGTTACACCCATTTTTAATGTCCTTTTAACTATTTTAAGTAACTTTTTCTTTTATTAGATATTTAAGGAATTTATGGAAAATCTTTTACTTGGTGTTCTAAGCCTAAAAAGGGGTGAACAAGACACAAACACTTGATGAGTTCGAATTTCCTCATTTAAATAAGTTTACGAAAAATGTATTTGAATAGAGTCATATTTCATTGCTTCAACGTCTTTACTTTGTGATTAATTACGTACAGTTTGATTTTTTCTAGAAAAAACATATTCTAGGAGGGTGGAGGATGTGCCAAATGAAATTTTAAGTTTCTTGCTAAAAGCCAAGTACAGTGATGCACAGGCACCTGACACATTTATGATGTGGCACCCCTCCCCAAACTTCTGGGGATTTTTTAAACACAATAATCAAAATACCAAGCTTATCATGAATGTTTTAACACTGCTATCTGATAATTTTTTTGTCTCTCATAAGTTATTTTAGAGCTATAATAATTGTAAGTCATATACTGAGGCAGCAGTTTCATGGAATCTGCAGGAGACAATGTTCTCTTCAATGCATACCAGGCCAAAACGTTTTGTTTGTTGGAAATTACCTATCATTCTCCTTCTACAATCAGTTCAGCGAATCATGAGGTTGTCATTGCCAAGTGTTTAAGACATCAGGAATTCTAATTAACTATCAGTCTGATCCCATGACTTAAGATTGTTCAAATCAAATTAGTACATCATGACCTTTTGTTCTCAGGGTTATGCATATGCCAGGTGCCTGTGCAGTGATGTACAATGTGTATACACAGTATGTGAATACTTGTCGAACATTTTTCAGTACTTATCCTGTTCATTTGTTAGGTTATTGCAGTCCATTTTTTTTAAAGATCAATTTAAGTCCATAGATGTTAAACAAAGAAATTACATAGCTGTGTAATTTTGATCTTAAACTTAAATTATTTTGTGAAAATGGTCACTACTAGTAATATAAGACAAACTACATCCATCATCTTCATGAAACCAAAAACATATTCTTTATGTTTCCTGTAACTTGCATAAAAAATGTTTTTTTGTTTTTTATTTATAATTTAATTTTTCCCTCATTATTTTACAGAAATGTTAGTTTATACTGGTGGGGAAAAATTGTGTTGCTAAATCCAGCCCTTTCTAAATGATCTAATAGACTATAGATAGTAAAACAAAGTTTTACTGATAATGATATAACAGTGTAACTGTGTTTGAAATAACCATGCAGTGACTGCCAAAGACGCACAATTTTTGTCGCGAGCAAACAGACTTGCATGTATCGACGCCCGGCTAGACGTGTAAATATTTTCCATAAATTCAAATTTAGATCTGTGATAAATCTCTCAAATCAACTAATAGTATTCGCAGCAAAGTGTAACAAGCAAATGGGTAGAATTCATCAGTCTATAGGTTCAGGATTGAAGATATGGTGATCTGGCCCCATTTCACATTATTTATAATTTTATTGCTAAAACAAATTTATAAAAGATAAATATTTTCTTGGGCTAACCGATTTTTGGTAGGGCTGTCAACTTTTACTAGCAGTCGGCCCTGCATTTCTAGCTTATTTTATGGTGTCAGAATTCGAAACACTGGAAATAAGCATATTCATCTGAGTGATCCATAATTCATTGATCAGAATAAAAAAAATTAATTCATAAACTTCTCTTTTGGCAGATTCACTAAAAATGAATGAAAAACAAAGCATTGATTGCATATAACTCAGTTGAAATTACAGGAAACAAACAATGATATCAATTGACCTCTTCTAATTTTTCTTCCTGCAGCTTACATTATTCTTTTTTTCTCAAAGTTTTGCTGTTTTTTCTTTAATATTCAGGATTGTGTTCAAAGTTTGATAATTGTAACACATTCATTATTTTAGCAAATGAATAAATATGTTAATCAAGGAGTCTGATAAGCTACTTTGGACTGTCTCCATAAGTTAATGTATGATTCTGATTTAATGAGATAATGCTGTGTTCAGTGGTAATAATGAATTTGGAAAATTCCTGTTTCATAAGGAAATTTTCAGTTAATATATGTACTGAACACGAACACATCAATTATCATGAATTATGTCTAGCAAAGGCTTAGAGTAGGTCTTTAAATTGATTTACCGTATCATTGAGACAATGAGAGATTTATTGATGCTAGCTGTTTTTAAATCAATGTACCGGTACAAAAGATAAAAAGAGTCTGACACTTTTTATTCTACCATAATTTTATCTTTCTGATTTAGATGGCATAGTATTTTGTTGAATTTCAGATATAATCCAAAAAATATGTAATTGGTAAAGTGGTTGAAGATTTAAGTTTTCTTAGTCCATATGCACAATATACGGTTTTGTCACGAAAGGAGATGGGTGAACTTAGCGTGCAGAAAGCCCACTAGCTTCAGATATATAAAAATCATAATCAAATTGTGAATTTAGTATTTATAGTGAAGTTCTTATCATTGTTTTTATGAAATCATGATAAACAAAATGTTGTGAGGAATTAATTTATTCTTTTATTAACAAAAAATAATGTGGTATCCATTGGGTTCGAACCCTGGCAATAAAAATCCTGCGTTGCATTCTCTATTGAGACTAGCACGCTAACCACTACGCTACACAAGTTCTGATGAAGTGTGGCATTTAAATCATGCTTGTGATATGACCATTGACTTATGGGACTTCAAGTATTTCTTGGAAAAGATACGAACGTTTTGTCATAAAATTATATTTTTATGGTATAGTGGGTCTTTGCTCCATAATTTTGGAAACCAATATATGTATGTTTGTATGCAAACTTTGAATTAACTCTCAAAAAAATGCCCACTCATAACGAAAAATAGTGTTATAGTGTGAAAAAATGACTCGTTTTGTTCTCTTTCGTGTGTGTATAATATTTCATAAGCAAACAACTTCAACCTTCATGAAATTTGTGCAAGTTGTAGAGATTTTATGTAAAGTATACTTTAATGTTAGATGAAATATTAAGGAAAATTTTTATATAATTGAGATTTAATTTTTCACCTTCATGTTTGTTGCGCTATGGGCTTATCTCACGTCATGTTCACCCATGTCCTTTACAAGAGATAAATCCATTGCTTTCAATATGTTTGGTTCTTTGTCGATAGACATTAGGCCTTAAAAGAGTCTTAAAATCTAGTGGTTAGCAACAGTACAATTTAACGCACACAGACAATTGTCCATTCAGAATGTGATAACAATGTGATAATGTCTTTTGCCAGGAATGAGTTCCCCCTCGGACATCCCCCAGACTCAGGCGATGAACAACGCCGTGATTTCCGGCTCACCGAACGATCACCATCATTTCCTTGTCCCCAGCCCGGTGCCCACTCGCAGGAATAGGACTTTCTCTCAGTAAGTCTGGACTTACATTTTATTAACTTTGGCGCTTGACTTTTTTTCTAGATTTAGAGACTGAAAAGTGAAAGTAAACACATTCCAGATAATTCATTCTAATCATATTTTTGCTTATTTGTATTTTTAAAGATGATTATATTAACAGTTTGATTGAGTTGTGTGTAAAATTATTGATTATTGGTAAACGGAGCATACCTTGATTTTTGTCCAGTAAAGGGCTTATGGTGTCATGATTTTTCAGGTCAGAAAGGGCTAAAGTTGGACCAGTCTACAAAGGGAAAGTAAAAGATTTTTGTAGACAAAAAGGACATGGCTTTATTATACCAGATGAAACAAAACAGCCCATCTTTGTTCATATTTCTGAGTAAGTATGTGATGTTCCATGCAGTTCTTGAAATCTTATCATTATGATCATGATGATAGTGGTGTGTGTTTGAAAGAGTGCAGGGGGGGGGGGGTCTCTTAGATTTTAGCAGTGTCTTTTTTTTTTTGGGCTGATAATTATACAAGTAACATAAAGATTTACAAAAACAGTCTGAATGTATCAGGCTTACACAAAATGAGGCATCATTTATTCTTATAAAAAGAAGAGTTACCTAACAAATAATTTGTTTTGCAGTATTGAAGGAGAGTATGTCCCCAAGCCTGGTGATGAAGTTACCTTCAAGGAGATCTTGATACCCCCCAAGATGGAGAAGAAGCAAGCAGTGCATGTCAAAATTACTCACCTTGCACCAGGCGTCTCGCACGAGAAATGGGATAGCAGTCCAGATTTGGAGGCCCACCCCAAGTAAACCATAGGCTCCACAGCTATTCTCCGGCACTGAATGTGACATCACTACATCATTTGCAGCATTTACTGAATGCATTGGAACAGTAATTACTCCTAATGTGCACCTTGCTAGCCAACGCATGTTGTTTTTTTTAAAGAATTTTCGGTCCATTTTATTTTTTTCTTTTTCATTGTACAGTTATATCAATGTTTCAAGATTTGTTGTTACTCTTGTTCTTTAAGTATGTACAGCATTCTCTTTATCTTTGCGTTGTGCCATAGTAAACTTTGTTATTAAAAATGCAAATTGTGCTCTTTGATCATTGGAATTATTGAAAGTTTCCTTTTGCAATATTTTTTTTCTGAACTTTCATCTTGTGACATTTCTTTTTTGGGCATAGTTTTGGTTGATAAAAATTAATCTGAAAATGTACATATATGGGATATTATATACTTGTATGTTTAATAGTAAATTAGTGCTACAGCTATGATTTAAAGACCGCCGCCTTTCATTAACCATACTTTGAATAATCATTCTTGAGCAGAAGAACCCTGTTCAAAATAATCCACCTTGTTGTCAATGAAATAGATCAACCTGGTATATTTCTGTAGATGGTTAGTACCGAACAAACAGGAAATAAAAAAGTAAAAATAGATTTTTATTATAAGTTGTCAATATCTACATGTTTGTACCTTAAAAATGCAATAAACTATATAGCGGTAAATGCCAACTTGAATTTGTTAATTTTATTTCAGAATTTATTTTTCAAATACATAAACATTGGTACTGTGCCTTTTACTTAATTATATTAATAAAATTAAATGCACCATGCTTTTAGGCTTTTCTCCCATTTTTTTGTGTCTAACAGGTTACTAGTATACATTTTATTTGAATCTTTAATGTGATATAAGGAAGAATGTCAAAAGTCTGTTAATATTCATAAATAACAGAAAGTACTGGTATATTTTTCTTTCCAGTTCTTGTGACAAAATTTTTATTCTTCCAACTTTAAATCTATCAAATTGTTTTGGTATATACTAATAGGTTGTTTTATACAAGTATATCTTAGAAATTATTGATTTCAGCTAGCATTGTAAGATGAAATAATCTACCCAGGGTATCATTGTAATTACCAAGATTATGATCGATGATGTGCACTGTACAGAATATAAAGCATTAAAAGAAAAAATATACCGACATCTGTAAAACACACACTCTTTTTATTTATTGATCATTGCAAAGTTTCATTCAGAATTCAAAAAAAAAAATATTGTAGCAAAGCTTGTAACCTCAGATATTCCTATTAACCACCGTCTCTATGTAACTCATTTGAAATGAACATTTTTATTAAAATTTGAATGAGATTGAAATCTGTTTTAGGACCTGATTATAGATGATTTGTTTGTCATGTGAAGAAAATGTGGCACTTGCAAAACTTGATTAGTAATATATTAGTATGGATTTTGAATTTAAATTTTTGGAAAGAAGTTACTATTGTAGAGAGTAGCTACATGTACATACTGGTATTTTTAGTGAAACGTTATGTGCTGGAGTACATCAAAAGAGAGAGAGAGAGAGAGATGTTGAATGAACAAGCATTGTAGTGTTTGTTTTTCTACATACATATATGATGTAGTGATTTAAATATTATCATGTGTTGTTCCTGTTTTCCTGTTCTTATTATTATATCATTCACAATCTTGAAAATTAAAACTCAGTAATACAGAAAGAAATTTCTTGGTAGATTTGTTCAAATGACACAGGCTTTGTATACTAGCTGACCCAGTTGAAATCAATGATTTTCAAACTGAGAAGTGCTCACAAGAAAATTTTTATTTGGTGCATTAACTTTTTACATGTAATAAGATTATTCACTTAGCCCTTAATTAATTTATTTACTGAATTATTTTTCATTTATAGATCACCCAAAAGCCTTGAGAATGTCTGAAGAGCATTTGAATAGTTCATATCTAGTATTTGAAAAGATTCTCACATCTAGATTTTTTTCTTTGACCAGAAAGATTTGTGCCATATAGTGTAAGATATTGGATAATGTTTACAATTATGTACTAGATAAGAACTATGTGAAATTAAGGGGGAAATTGTAAACTTAATTATTAATTTTTTGATTGATGAAGGGAAAAAAGGGAGGGGGCACTCTCGGCTACAAGAATGTAGACTGAGGCGAAAAATGAAACACTGATCAATTCTGAATATGTATGTATTTTTGTATACCATGTATTTTTTTTTTACATAATTTGTTTTGGGAAGAAACAGTCTGACATACAGGTATTCTTGTAATTTAGCTAAAAGTCATCATTAAATAACATAAGCAGTGAACCATTTGTACATTACAATGTTTTTAATGCCTTTTAAGTCTGATCTAAATAATCTTAACATTCTTTGAGCATACTAAGTACGTCAGATACAAGCAAAAATTTGTTAAAAGGGTAATCTTCTAAAATAAAGTTTGCTTGCCCTTGCCTGACTCAGGAATAAAATGGGTATGTAAGTAGGGGAAAACAGTTTTTAAAATCAGAAATTAAAATAATTTTATATAAAATTAAAATGATAGCCTAACCAATTGGGTGAATAAACTATGGAATGAATTTAATGAAAATGTTTACTGGAGGTTAAAAAAAAATGACGGGGCCGCCTTTACATGTAGTCATTCGGTCGGGAGAGGGCAAACAAACATGTACAGAAATGCAACTTCAAATTGCGACAGTGAATTATATTTTTCCTGTTGTGTTTTTTTTTCTTCTTTATGTAGATAAATATTTAGAGTGAAACTAAAAAAAGTTATGTAAAGAGTGGGGGTGTTGTAAAATTTGGTTCAAATGTGTATTATATATGCATAATTTAAATAAAACCATAATGTACGTTGCTCGTAGCATTCTGTTGTAGGTTCTGTCTTAGAAACAAATAAACCATAGCAAGAAATGTGTTTCTTTTTTTATATATTATAATAAAGTGTTTGTGACGTCACGGTTTTTGCGTTTGTCAACGCAGTTCTATTATGACGTCACAGTAGTTGTTGGTTAAAAAGAAGTCAAGATGTCGAATAAAGAACGACACGATCTCTTTTACAGTCAAGCACGGAATGTGTTGAATTATAACGTTAAAAGATTATGGTTTAAGATTAATCCCTTTTTGGAGAAGAAGAAGAAAGATGAAACTGACCCGAGCGAATTTATCCAACCTCATCAATCCACGGTTTTATGCGAAAAACTCAGTTTTTCCGGTGATATAGATCGAAAAGAGCAAGAATTGCAAGTGGGTAAGAAAAACAAATTTACCTACAGTCAGTATTGATGTTTCTCTTACTGCTTATATCAAAATACTTACATTGAGCTTGATTTGGGAATTATTATTGTAACCGGGTATCCGGTATAGATGAATGAGTCCGTTTTGGAAAGTTGATAGGATTTATTCAATTAATGGTACATGAATGAAAACCCTGTGAATAAAATAGTCAAATTAATAACAAAATAAAGTACAATACTTGAACCGTAATCTTTAGCCAAGAATCACTTTACTTTACAATTTACTTGCTGCTGTTTACAATTATCCATTATAAAATCATTTAACTTCGTAATTGTGAAAAATAGTTATTTCTGATAATCTTTGATAAAATAGATAATGAATAATATACAATTTGTCAACAAACAAAATGAATCGAAACAAAATCAAAATAAAACGAACATAAAAGAAAATAGTACGTCATGCAGAACATACACATGAAATACATATTGAAGACAAATAAACAAATACACACACTCAATCTTACCTCACATGAGGTGTAAAGGTTTGTTACCAAATATGTGTTCTTCTAGTATACAGCCATTATGACAATAGGGCAATGTCCTGTATAAAACGTAGGGTGTGTTTACTTTACGATACATTTAAAATTTGTTCAGAACCATGAAAATTAACTTTTCCATATATATTACTCTTGAAATCTTTAATAAATGATAAATACTTGAAAACATACTAAAATTTATCTGAGTACAACTAATCAATTAACTCAGTGTGCACACAATACAATTACACTAGTCCTCAAATTTCTAAGTAATGAAAATGACAAAATTACGTAAATAAATACTTTTAGAAAATAACTCTACAATAAACTAAAAGAATAATTACCTTCAAATTCCAACAGAGATAAATAGGTAGAGCAAAATTTCAAAGTAATAGCCGACCCTGCCCTGGCAACTACGTATAGATGTAGCACGAACTTGTGCCACCGGGAAAGTAAAAAAAAACCCGCCAAACCAGGTAACCCAATCGAACTACCTGCGGTGCAATGAACCATAAAATTTAAGGTCATACAGTCCGAGGTCGTCTGTAGCTATAAATAATTTAATCTCTAAATAAATGCAAATCTTATAAAACTTACCAGATAATATAAATAACAAGAACACAAATAATTCAATCATAATTTTATTAATGTCAACCGTTTTAAACCTGAAATAAATATTACCTACAATATTTAAAAACACTTATTTACAATACACAACTGACTATAACACACTCCCCCCACCTGAAAAATGACGTCCCGTCATTTGTCATTGGGAGTTTTCAAAATGTCTAAAATTACTTTGGCGGCGTCCGCTTGTAGGTTCTGGAAAAGTTTCGTTTTTGATAGAGAGGTAACGCATTGTATCTTCTGAAACCAATCTTTATCATGCACATTCATACTTTGAGTAAGTTCAAACTCATTTGAGCGCATCCACGCTGGTTGTTTCCTCTGCCTGGTAGACCGTCTAACCTCTGGTGGTGAATTTGAAGGTGATGACTGACTGTCAGGTTCATTCTCCTGTGTCTCAGCTTCCATATCACCATCTACCTGAGATTCTCTACTTTCTGAGTCGTCCGTCCCGTCAACAACTGTTGCTTGGGATGGGGCCCCTTCAGACTCAGCATCCTCAGCCATATCCTCTACATCTTGTTCATCTTGTTCCTCCTGTTGTGATGTTTCCGCAGGCATCTCTGGAATGCTGCCATCATCAACATCTGGATGAAAGACTAAAATATCTGTCTCTTCATCTGAGGATTCCTCCTGTTGAGTATCTAATGGTCTACTCTTGACTGGTCTAATTTTGATTGGTGCTGGTTTCTTCTCTGTGTTACTTCTCTCTTTGACATATCCCACTGGGAGTAATAAGTTCCTGTGTAATGTCCTTTTCCTGCCACCTCCATGTTCTCTTTGTACAGTAAAAACAGGTATATCTGGATTAGGTTGTTCTTTGATGATATAAACGTCTTGCTCCCATTTGTCTGCCAATTTATGTTTGCCGTCAAAAGCATTGATCTTCACTAAGACTCTATCTCCCTTATGTAAGGTGGCTCCTTTTGCTTTGACGTCATACTCCTCCTTCTGCTTCTCTTGAGATCTTGATGATAGTTCTGCAGCCTTCTGATGTGCATATTCCAGCCTTTCTCTTAGGTCGCTGATGTAATCAGTTACCTTAGCCTGCTTCCTTAATCCAAGCGTTATGTCAACAGGTAATCTTGGATCTCTGCCGAACATCAGCATGTAAGGGGAATATCCTGTTGAGTCGTGCTTTGTGCTGTTATAAAAATACACAAGAGGAGCTACATATCTTTTCCAGTTCTTCTTTTGTTCAGCCTCCAGGGTTCCCAACATACTTAACAGAGTGCGGTTAAATCTCTCGCACATCCCGTTGCCTTGTGGGTGGTATGATGTAGTGCGGGATTTCTTGGTACCTGTTAGTTCACATAGCTCCTTAATTATCTTTGACTCAAAGTTGGCTCCCTGGTCTGAATGTATTCTCTCTGGCAGTCCATACTGAACGATAAAGTTGTTGTAAAGCGCTTCAGCTGTTGTTCTAGCCGTTTGATTTCTGGTCGGAATAGCCTGGGCGAATCGAGTGAAATGGTCTGTAATGACTAAGATATTCTGCTGTCCTCCCTTGGATGGTTCTAGGGTGAGGTAATCAATGCAGACCAATTCCAACGGTGCTGAAGTTCTTATACTTACCAGTGGCGCTCTGTGGTTTGTCAGTGATTTCCGTCTTAAACATCTTCCACATTGGCTAATCCACTCTTCAACATCCTTCGCCATCCCTGGCCAGTAGAAGCGGTCTCGAAGAATTGACTTCACAAATGATTTGTCAGCAGCACAAATATTTTAAAACAATATTAAAACAAAAGAGAGAAAAAAAAATAAACCTAAGTTTCAGTGAAAGAAAAAAATAATAAATAAACAAGAAATGTTTACTTCCGGTCAACCTTGACCTTGATGACCCCTGGTGAGGTCAAGTGAAACAACACAGATGGATAAATAAAAAAAAAATTAAACAAGGGTACACATTTTTCAAACAAATAAATAAATGTCTATCAAAGTAACTTCAAGTAATACCTGATGTCAAAATCAGATGCTTATTCAATCAAAACTTGATGAATCAAATCAGTACATATCTATAATGCAAGTCAAGCAATGTTAAAACATGAGACTGAAACTAAGTCCGAATCTCACCGCTCTGAATTTCACTGACACAGCGAGTCTTACACGAAGTCAAAGTTGTGTTTCAGCGTCAATGGCAGTCATTAGGAAATAATAAACATTATCAGCATTTTACATCGCTGTAGACGACACAGTCGCGCATATAAACAAACTGTTCAACTTACAAATACCGGCACAGTCTTCCAGTTCAAGTCAGACCTCTGGATCCATGTGTTTTCCACCATGTGACCGCATACCGGAAGTCGAAGTTGTAAACAAACTGTCTAATGTATGGAAACCAGTCGGGTCGCACACAATCTTTCCCGGAATGCCTGTCGTTGACCTATCGATCTTCCAACCAATCACGTGGGCGCCAAAATGTAACCGGGTATCCGGTATAGATGAATGAGTCCGTTTTGGAAAGTTGATAGGATTTATTCAATTAATGGTACATGAATGAAAACCCTGTGAATAAAATAGTCAAATTAATAACAAAATAAAGTACAATACTTGAACCGTAATCTTTAGCCAAGAATCACTTTACTTTACAATTTACTTGCTGCTGTTTACAATTATCCATTATAAAATCATTTAACTTCGTAATTGTGAAAAATAGTTATTTCTGATAATCTTTGATAAAATAGATAATGAATAATATACAATTTGTCAACAAACAAAATGAATCGAAACAAAATCAAAATAAAACGAACATAAAAGAAAATAGTACGTCATGCAGAACATACACATGAAATACATATTGAAGACAAATAAACAAATACACACACTCAATCTTACCTCACATGAGGTGTAAAGGTTTGTTACCAAATATGTGTTCTTCTAGTATACAGCCATTATGACAATAGGGCAATGTCCTGTATAAAACGTAGGGTGTGTTTACTTTACGATACATTTAAAATTTGTTCAGAACCATGAAAATTAACTTTTCCATATATATTACTCTTGAAATCTTTAATAAATGATAAATACTTGAAAACATACTAAAATTTATCTGAGTACAACTAATCAATTAACTCAGTGTGCACACAATACAATTACACTAGTCCTCAAATTTCTAAGTAATGAAAATGACAAAATTACGTAAATAAATACTTTTAGAAAATAACTCTACAATAAACTAAAAGAATAATTACCTTCAAATTCCAACAGAGATAAATAGGTAGAGCAAAATTTCAAAGTAATAGCCGACCCTGCCCTGGCAACTACGTATAGATGTAGCACGAACTTGTGCCACCGGGAAAGTAAAAAAAAACCCGCCAAACCAGGTAACCCAATCGAACTACCTGCGGTGCAATGAACCATAAAATTTAAGGTCATACAGTCCGAGGTCGTCTGTAGCTATAAATAATTTAATCTCTAAATAAATGCAAATCTTATAAAACTTACCAGATAATATAAATAACAAGAACACAAATAATTCAATCATAATTTTATTAATGTCAACCGTTTTAAACCTGAAATAAATATTACCTACAATATTTAAAAACACTTATTTACAATACACAACTGACTATAACATTATGGATGTGCTTTTATATTACATGAAGTTCAATCAGTTTATTAGAAGTTATTAGAACATATTAAAAGTTTTTGTCTCTTTAAAACTTCAAGCTGTTAAGAATATATTTTAAAAAAATGTCAATATAATAAACGAAATAATGCATACTAAATCATAATATTCAAATAAATAAAATGTTCTTTTCTCTGATACGACAGGTGAGTTTTGGGACTATCTGTATTCTGACAAATGGGAACATGGGTGTTCGATAAGAATTCTCGAGGGTCAACTCTTTGACCTATTACAGACAAAACTCCACATCCTGTTAAAGAAACACATGATCGTTCATCATCGAACCTTTGCTTTTGCCAGAAACAGAAGAGAAAAACGGGGATGTTATAAATTAGCAAACGAAAAGGTTTGATCAATACACTTTTAAAGAAAAAGAATTTCTTGAAAACAATCTCATAAATGTTGTTAGTTGTATTCATTGTCTTTCCAAGAATAAAATTTAGATGAGTTCTTTTGATCCGCTCTCGTACACTAAGTATAAATCTAATTTTGATAAGACTAAATTCTCTGTTCAAATCGAGCTCAGTTTTTGAAAAAAAACCCTATATCTGCTAGTCCTTAGTCTTCAAAACAAGTGCGAGGGGTTGAGCGGATCAAAAACCCTCGGTTAGTGATGAATCTTAGTAAAAATCTAATCAGTGGTTAAATTTGTTAAATTGCAGGGCTGTGGGGAAATAGAAGAAATCCTTTTGCTGGAGTTCATTTATTATGGGCGTCGTGTGGAACCCATACGCCAGTATGGATCTACCTGCAGTTCCTATCCAGGAACCAGCACCACCACATCTGGAATGACCTCACAAAGATCTCCCCCTCCCAGCGAGAGAGAGGAGGAGTTCAATCCGTTAATTAGAAGAGGTTTTATTATATTTCTTTAATGCAGTACAAAATTATTCGAGTTTGGCTAAAATGAAATTTAAGGTTTATGATTAAAATCTGACCGACATCTGTCTAAATATAACGTGCTCTGTAATCCCTTTATTATAAATCATCTTTCAAGACAAGGAAGTTCAAATATATCATGATATATAATACACAGACATTTCCGCATAGTGAGGCTCAAATTTGTTCAAAGAATGACTTTAGGGATATGTTTCGCTTATTCTCTAGATTTATTTCCTTAAATGGTGATATCAATAACCCCAACCTTTAGATATCGATCATATATTGATAGATATATCACCTAAAATTTCAATTATCAATTCTTTTCAGCCTCCCTTGATAGTAAGGTTTTATCCCGAACTCTACCGGCCATTAAACGCAGACATACCACTCCAGTCAAAAAGGCGCCAAAGGGAAGGAGGTCAGCATCTCGAGAACGAGGCCAGGTCTCAGAGAGGATAAAATCGGGCGACAAGGGAAAAAGAGCAATTCGTCAACCATTTGAGGTCATTCCAAAAGAGATCAGCAGTGCGAGCTCTGATAGTGATTACAGAACCCTTCCACCAACCACAAACCTTAAGCAATTTAGATGCACGGAAAGAATTGTTTATGGAGATGATTTGGATACCATCACAGAAGAAATAGAGTTGAAAGAGGAGGACTTCGGATTCGGTGAAGAATTTTATTTGTCTGATATAGTTCGAGAACCCTCAGCTCAAATTGAGCAGGAATCTGTGGCCAAAAAGCTAACGAGATGCAAAGTAGAACTTCAAAAGAGAAGAGAAGAAAAGAGAAAACAAGAAGAGTTTTGGACTAATAAAAAGACCACCAGTCTTCCTCCCATGCCTAGTTTTGATATCGATCATATTCAGCTAGATAAAACAAAGTCCGATATACCAGCCTTCAAGTTTAAATTTTTGATACAAGAAGTTCCAAGTTTTGAAAGATTGATAACCATTTTGGAATCTGAAGATAGATTTGATCCACGCTACCGCCGCTCCAAACAATTGAGCAAGAGAGTCGCCAACAGATACAATCTTACAAAAGATGCCCTACACCAGCGGAATCTGGAAACAGCGGAACTCAACACTAACTTGAAGAAGAGGTTTGAGATGCTGGGTAAACTTGGCAGCGGTGGAAAGAAAGAAGCCAAAGAATCCAAAAGCCGATCACACATGATGCATGATGCTGTATCATCTGCTGCTGTTGTGCCTAAGCAAGGAAAACCTGTCATCACAAATATTCAAACGTTTGAGGACACCGTCGGTGAAATGGCAGTGAAAGTCAGGGGTTTGACAGATTCCAGAGTGTGCGAGAATCATGTTCTGAATAATGGCGGAAAGAAGAAACCAAGTAAAGACCGTAAAAAGAGTAAAGCTAAATCGGTTTCAATATCCCCCGTCACTCCTAAAACAATATCACCCATTTCCCCCAACACTGTTCCAGATATAGTTTTGACAACGCCTTCTGGTCAGTCTTGCAACCTCTCTGTGAAATCCGAGGCTGATACTCCCAGTGTCAAGTCCATGTCTCCGCCGTCCCGCGCTTCACCCAGAGAAGTTAAATCAGTAGCCGTGAAGAAGTCGGTTAGAAAGAAGGAGAGCAGACCGGGTTCGAAAGCGGGGTCAAAGAAGTCGATAGCCAAGGCTAAGTCTACTTCTGGTAGAAAGAGTAGGGGAAAAGCAAGTCTAGCGCCATCGTACATAGAATCAGATTCATCTGATGAAGACGATACAACAATTTCCACTTGTTTTGACACTAATAAACTCAACTTCCGGTACAGTTTTGAAAAACTTAAATGTCCGAAAGGCGGGAAGAAGAAAAAACCCGCTTTCTACGAAATTCTTAGAAAGTATTATCGTGTTCAGAAAACCCTAGATGCTCTCACACGACCGAAAGACTCGAAAGGCAAAGGTAGAAAATCTATTTTCGAGAGAATCTTGCAAAAGCAGACAATCAAAAAGACTGAACCAGAATTTGTTATTGGGAAGATGAAAAAATTTTCGTTCCTGAATTATAAGAAAAAGCCAACAGTAGGAGCTGAAGTGCCTAATTTCTCCACAGTTTCTATGGTCGAGTTTGAAGAGAGGTTGTTCAAGGCTTTAGATGACTTTATTGTACGCAAAGAACATGTCGTCTCGAACCTCAATGGAAAATCCGTCACTGCTTTAACATTTACCAAAAAATCTGCATTCAAAGAAAAGTGTAATTTTTGAAATAAGCACCATGAAATGTTCAGTGCTGGCTCCTGAATTTAAAGCATATGTTCATCTTTATATTATTTAAAGTATACTTCCTGTTTACTTTTACTAGCTGTTCAATTCATTTTGTTTAATAAGTCAGAAAAAAAAATCCATATATCCGATAAAGTGGAATTGTACATGTACAGATATAAATAAATGAAAAATCAAACTCTAACACATTGTTCAGTTGATGACTTTTAATGAAGTTAATCATGACAACAAGGGATTTCAGTACTTCAGTAATCTGTTGATGAAATGTATCACACAATTAAAGATCTACTAACATGCTTGTTTTCCTCAGAATCATAATTCAATTATATTACCGAAAACATTCTTGTACAGACAAAATTTATTCCATATTTCAATATCAAACTTTTTACCAGAGGGGTTCATTCAAGGGTTCTCAATAATCTTATCAAAAAGGGGGGTCCTCAACATTACATGTATACATGTACTGTTGTTCTTATTTGTCCTATCGGATTTTTTTAGTTCTCTTGTAATGAGAATAATTCTTTTTAATCTTATAAAACTGCAGTACCGATAATTTAATCTTTCAGAAGTAGATTTAATATGAACTCTTGAAAATACACCCTCATCTATTTTCCTAACTTGAGCAAGAAAAGGAAAAGTCAAGCATAATATGATTTTCATGCATCATAGTGTATCGATTACTTTCACAGTGCCAATAAATTAAATCAACATGGCTAAAAACTCAAGCACTCAAAAAAAAAAATCTTTACACATACAAACACACGCATAAAGAGAAAATAATTTAAGTACCAGTATTATGCAGAAATGAATGATTTTTTTTTTCAGCAAATAACAAAAATTTCCTGATTGCAAATTCAAATTTGTCACAAACAAGTAAAAATAAAAAATATGCAGTTCACTTGAACTCAACTCAAATACTTTATAAATTTGACAGTGACATTAATCTACATACATGTATTTTCCGAAAAAAAAAATTACAAGGAAAATCTTGGCATTCTGCAAAAAATGCACAAAAAATACACTTGCATCACTTTTTTCTTAAAACTACAAAATATTGATCAAATTTAAAAAAAAAAAAAGATTCAAAGTTCACATGAAAACCAATCATGTAAATCAGTGAAAAATGTGGAAAAAAATGAAATGATAACTTTCAAAAAAAAAAGAGAAGACAACACATAACCATGCATTTAAAGTAAACACTGTTACTTTGAGTACTTAATAAAAAAAAGACTACACGAATACTTTCAACCGTCCACAAGCTTTTTTTTTCATATCACAGTTCAAAGTCTATATCCTAGGCAGCTGAGCTGTACTAGTCCACTGTCCATTAACTGGCATATTTTTTGGTCCACTCTCTAGCCATTTTGTTGTATTTGGCTTGGTCTGTCTTGTAGATCTTGGCGATTTCTGGCATAAGTGGGTCATCAGGGTTTGGGTCTGTCATCAAGGCATTTATGGACAACAGGACTGTAAATAAGAGGATTGAAAAATAAGAATATCTTCAGTTTAATTCATACAGCGTATGTGTGTGAGGGTGTGTGGGTGGGTGTGGGGACAGCTTAGATTATAAGCAATACTTGTACCAAGTATGTGCTTCCAGTGTTTTTTCTAAATCATTGCCCTGACAAGACTGCACAGACATATTCAAGTTGGAAAATGTGATTCCTTCATCCACCTCCCCCCAACTTTGTTTGCAGGGGGTATAATAAAATCTTGGATATAATTATACACCTCTTTACTTCAGAATTATTGAAATGCGTTGATGAAAGTCAAGCACTGAGTAGCTGCAGAACTGTAGCTCTCTGCTTGAGAAAATTCGGACAGACAAAACAGAGAGCTACAGATCCAAGCGTTGTAAAAACCTTCGATTTACACTGACGATTTTTTGTCACTCATTTCGGGTATTATTTCTTGTAGTTTATACTTTCCTCAGCTTTAAAAATGGTATTTAATCATTAATCATACATTAAACTTCAATTCCTGATAATTTACTTACCTTTCCACGCTAAGAAATGGCTGTTTGTGGTTACGGAGGTTGAAATTGAACTCATTTAAACTGACATTACAAAACTATATACAGGACTGTTTCGGACCGATAAAAGGTAAATAATCTATCAAAAATAAGATTTAAATATATGATTTATTAAAGGATACCATTCTAAAAGCCAGAGAAACTTTAAACTACACAAAATAAATACCTAAAGTAGCGACAAAAAATCTTCAGCGTAAATCGAAGGTTTTTAAGATGCTTGGATCTGTAGCTCTCTGCTTTATCTGTCCGAATTTTCTCAAGCAGAGAGCTACAATTCTGCAGCTAAGCACTAAACAGACTTAAATTCACTGACCTTTTGATACAGTTAGGGCTGGTGACCATTGAGATCTGAGAATGTCCAGACAAATACTGCCATTGCTGTTAATATTTGGATGGTAAATCTTTGTTGTGAACGAAACCTGTTCAAAAAAAAACAATTGCATCAAGAATATTTTCTTTACACCATGAATATAGGTACGTATGATAATAAAAGATACATGTACTTGTTTCATAATTTTTTTTTTTAAATAAGCTCATTTTTGATTTTCACAATATATGAAACTGTAAGTACAAATTTTCTTTAAATTATCATGTTTACTTTTAAAAAATGTGTTTACCTAAAAATACATTCTGTAAAGTTATTATGTTTACTAAAAATCTATGTTGCTTACTATTTGTGAATCCAGTAAGAGATTTTGATTTAAATAATGCTTTTTATCTTTAGTAATGACCAAAGATATATATGACTATTTACAAACTTTAGAGAATTTCTATTTTTAATTTCTTACTACATTTTAAAGACTTACTTTAGGGGGTTTAAAAGGATAATCTGTTGGGAACTGTATTTTTAGAAAATAGAGTCCTCCTTGGTATGGGCTATCTTCCTGTAAAAATAATGATATTATTTGTAAATATATACTTTCTACATTACCCTTTCTCAAATTTAGAAAAAAGTAATATTTTTAAAATGTTTATTTAAAAAGTATATGAATTAACATGATTAATCTTTCCTACATGATTTTATTCTACATTTCTTTTTTCAACCTTTCATCAACTTGCTTTAGGACTTCATTTACTTGTTCAATATGTATCTCTTATTTAAATTTAGGTTCACTGTAATATTTCAAATGGTCCTCAATTATCAAATATTCAGAATGGTTCTGAGAGAGCAAATGAACTTGAAGTTCACATATTATGAAAGAAATTACTAATGACTTCATTTTTTTTATCGTCAAAAATATAGATACAAATAATGAAATATAAAAAAGTAATTCAACTACTCTGAAAACTATTCAGGTATGTCAATCAAATATATATATATATATTTTGATTATTAACTTAGGCAAAAAATAATTAATTTCTTGGTTCTCAGGCCCTCCCTCATCTCTTCCAAGGGTGCCTCATTAACCCTTTTTATTGCTAAATCAATAAAATATAAACACCAAATCACCTCCCTCATCATTTTTTGAGGTTTTGTACAATGTAAAAAGCTGCCTCATGTTTTGAGGGCAATAAAAAAGAAAATAAAATGCCTCCCTCCCTCATCATATTTCTTGAAAAAAGGCCTGAGAACCAAGTAATTAACTTTGCATGGCCTTACTGGTCCTTGTATCGATGCTTTCCAGTTGAATACTGAAAAAAAAAAATCAATATAATTCCAAAGAATGTAGAGTTATTCATAAAATTGTTCGCTAATATACTTCATATTTTGACCTAGGATCCTTGGGTTTTCTCTCCATTAAATAACATTGACTGTAAAATATATTGTAACTGAGAGAAAAACCATGTCCATGTCAAATATTAACAAAATATGGCATGTTTACATCATTAGAATGCATTGCACCAAAGTGTTTCTTTTCACTCTTGATTTAAAACAAACATTCCCATCGACATAAAGCAACACCTCGTTCCATTGGCTGACATTTTTAAAGCCAATTGTCTGGGGCGGAGTCAAATTAAAGACAACAAGCATGTGCAAGTTTTCTGTAAAGTTTAGTTTGTACTACCTCACAAAAAGCTGAAACGATTCAAATCATATTGGCTCAGCCTACTACGATTTAATTGGATGTCGATTGTATTTTCCTTTGCGTAATACTTAGTAACAGCAGTGTTTTCCCTAGGAACCAGCTAGCGGCCAAATTGACCGCTTCAATTAACAAAATTGCCGCTTTGAAATAAAAATTTGTTGTAAGGTCCACAGGGATTTTGTTCATAAACCTCAGCCCCTAGCCTGTTACAACTGATCTCTAACCCTTTACTTTGAAATAAAGGGAAAACACTGAACCAGTTGTCAAGTATATGTAATTTGGGTTTTAAATAATCAGCAATCAGAAAGACAGCCAATGAACAATTTTTTAAAGAATGGAGCAAAGAAGAGCTCAGATTCTCACATAATGCGAAAATAAACACAATGGTGCAATGCATAATTGTGAGTTCCTTGTATGTCAAAATAATAAATGAAGTAGCCAGCTTACAATCTCCCTCTGTCTCAGGGCCAGCTGAACAACCAGCAGGGGGGTCTGATGTGATATCTTTCAATTCCTGAAAATAATAAATATTGAAGGTGTTTGCTTCAATGAACATTATTTTTTTAAACATGTGACAATGCTATGAAATGTGCATTTATAATATATTCAAATAACTTTAGATTTTTGTTAAAAAAACACAAAACAATTAACACATACAATAAGATGCAATATATAATCTGTATGTCATATAAGGAAAGATGAGTCATTCTAGAGCGTGGTTTCTCATAAGAAGTGAAAGTGAAACAATCTGCACTATAAAGAACTATAAATGCATTATTTATTTTTTTGAAATAAAATTGAGGTTCATTAGCAAATCAATTTAGTCGATAACATGTTTTGTTTCATTAACTGACTCAGGGAAGTAAATTCGTATACATGTACATCAATACAAAATGAAGTCACGATAGATATTCCAGGAAACAGCCATATACATAGCAGTGCATTCATAAAACGATTATGTTACAGAACTACATGTAAGTTTAGAACAATTCCTTCCATTTAACACTAGATATATTTTTAATTTTCTCATATTTTCTCTCTCTCTGAATACTTTGGTATTAAAATATCAATGATTAACGTTGTTACATCGACCCTTAAAAATAGAATTATAAAACCTAGAATACAAACGCTACAAATAAATGTTTCCCCTCATTTTTCTTATCAATTTAATACACACATTTTCAATATACCAACATATACCTTTGATAATCTTTTCAAAGCCATGGTGTGTTTCTCAGATCAATATATTGAATGTATTATTGTATACAATCGTGACAATGTCTCGTTTCTTGACCAGGCCAAGCTCCAAACACAGAGTCACACTTCCGTCTTGCTACAACACTACCGAATGAATTACTTCTCCTTGATGCACACTCTCAGTACTAGAGGGCGCTTTATATGGCAACAAAAGGCACATGGGCCACATAGCTCACATGAGCGACAATCAAAGTACCGAAAGTACTGGGAAGCGCTAAGCATGGTTCAAGTAAACCTGCCTTTTGATCGCCTTGACTGTTACGTTAAATAAAACCGAGTGTAAGTTTTGTTACTTTAATAAAGTCTTAAAAAATGAAAAAAAAATTAACAAAGTGTTGCATTTTGGAATCCAGGTTTCTGCGATAAAATTGAATTTATAATATGTTTTACGGTGTGACCGTTGGGGCGAGCGCAGTTTATAGCACTGGTTCTCTGCCCTTGATTCCAGTCGCTGCCGCTAGGAATTACAAGTTGGTTTTTTAGGGCGCTTGCGCCAGTGTACCAATGTCAGGGTACCAGTCTAGCGCAGTTTATTTACTATCATAAACCTACACATGTACTGTCTATCATTCAAGAAAAAGAAATAATACAAATAAAACAAAACAACAAAAAGAAATCATTTCCCAAGTATCGGGATCGAAATTCGAAAATTCTCGGAAGTTTCCGACAAAATCGGAAATACCCGAACCGTTGAAGTGACGAAAGTCTGACGTCAGAATGAGAAAAAAAAGTTCTGTTGACTGAGAACGCAAACGCTAGTTTTATGAAAAAGAGATTGCATTAAATCGTTCTTTTCATGTAAATTGTTGCTATGTTTTAGCCGAGTTTCACGGAAGCAACCGACATAACTTCGGCAAAATTCGTTAGTTTCCGGTGACGTCATTTGTATCATTTCCGAAGGGCAAGGTGAAGGCCGGTGTTGTGGCATGGGGTATTTTTTTGAATAAGGTAAGGCAAAATCAATTCGTTAAGATTTCGGTAAGAAACAATGTTCCTTTAATTTTTTACTATTTATGATTTATTTGCGCAAAGGACATTGGGTAGTGCAGGAATTCTGGGAAGGTTGCACAGAGAAATTTCAATCGGAGTTCCTCGGATGACTCGTACCTCGCACATAACCTCGGACGTGAGAGGTGATCTTCCATCTTGCTGATTCAGTCATGTGATCTTATTTGAATTTCATTTCAAATAATATACTTTTGAAATCCGAGTTACTTTGATGCACGCCCAACACTGTGTTCTTGCTTTCAAAGAATACTTACATTTGGTTGTAATTAGTACGAGCATTTGCACAAATCAAGAAACCTTTTCTAAGAACTTTAGGCAGAGCGAAATATGAAATGAGTGACAAGGCAGTTTCCGGCGGAGAAATGTAGCGATCTGATGCGTATTCCTCCACCTATCACATCCGAGGTTTGAATGGAGCGAAGCGGAGTCAGCCGAGGATTGCCGATTGGAGAAATTTGGCTGACGTATGTACAGATTTCAATCCGAATTTCCTCTGCTCATACACGTTAGTCTATTGAGCTCGCTTCGCGAGCGTCGCTTCGCGACGCTCGCTGCGCTCGCTATCAATATTACATCCGATTTTTTTTTCTGACTTACCTCATTTCAGATTAGTATTAAACTCTGCATTAGCTGGAAAGTTTTCTTTGTTTTGTTTTTTTTTTTTGTTGGGGGGGGGGGGGGGGGGGGAAAAAATTTTGAATACAACAAAAATGTTGCTGATATCCTTCTCTTGAATGTAAAGTAGAGAACACAAAACCTTTTAATGAAATTTTGAACAATGTATAATTCTACTCTCAAGAATATGAAGAATATTATTCGTACTAAAATTCAAAATTGGCTGTCGGTGACTTTATTTGTTATCATCGGCCGCAGGGGTGATCTATCTATTGTGTTTGAAAGTGTACAGGGAGAAATGAGATATTATTTTTTTATTTGTTCATCTTTAATGATAAAATGTATTAGGATTATGAATAAACGATTTTTAAAATGGCATAATATTTTGTTTGAACTGTTTTTAGCATATTTTAATATTTAATCCTCTTCATAAATATTTATAAAGTTATAATTTATATAAATAAACTTTTACAAAATAAAAATTCCTAGCATAGGACCTTGTAATATATACACACAATCATTACAAGTGTACAATATGAAGGGGGATTCCTGTACCTGTGATCCGTCATCTCTGACTTTCACACACATGAATTATAATTTATTTTTACCGAAATTTAAAAAAAAAAAGTTTGGCCATTCTGTTTGTCGTGTTACATTTGAAGCCGATTTGTCAATATCTCTCTTTAAAATAAAAATGTTAAATCAAGTACTCTTCTACTTAGAAAAAAATATCACATTAAAATTCGATCGTATTTTTCTTGAACTCATTTTGGCGAAAATACTTTAAAATGCTTCAGTTTTTTAACACCCAATCGTTCAGTGAAATGGATTTTTTTTTGGTCATCAAAATATTTTGTTACGGATAAAAACTACAAAACAAGTATAGTCTGTATATAAATGCGTTCAAGTTTGTACCGCTAAAGGATAATTTGATGCTGTGCAATCATTATAATTGATTGCCCTCTGTGTAATGCAAGTGTGAAAATAAAAATCCTCGTTTGTATAAAAGTTACATTGTTGAAATAAAGGCTTATGCAGAAGAGGGCGTGAAAAATTATGTAATGAAACTACAAAATGTAAATACAAATTAAATATAAAAGCTAGTTTAAGAAATAATTTTTTTTATGGAATTACACTGTATACTTCTAAAAGATTTAATTCCAATTTGATTTTTTAATACTCATTTAAATTTTAAGCTTAATGAGACTTAAATACACGTGCGCATAAATCTTTTTTTATTGGTACTTGTATCAATATATAAACATGTATGGTCATTTAGTTTTTCGAATTACCACTACAGAGATTACATGTACATTTGTGACATAATGAGTGTTTGCCAGTATACTTATTAATACGCACCATATTGTTCAGAGATAAGAACCACCCTTATCCCCTAACGCAGGATTTCCGTACATATTGATATCGACTGTACTAATTAACACCTATTATGATAACTCTACATTAAAGTAGCGGACAGAGGGTCGGGGATTGTTAGACCACTCAGTAGAGTTACATAACTTGCTCAGCGGCGCTATATTATGTATCACTCCGCGTAATATAGTTCGTCATTTTGAGAACATAATATACAACATTAAAATATATAATTTATATATAATCACCTTTAAAAAGAACCATAATACACCACGGAGATAATTTAGGTCAACAATAGCAGCCCTTGAAAAGGCATTATAGAACCCATTTGTTTACATAATTATCATTATTTATAGAGGGCGCGTCAGGGGTGCGTTCAAGATCTTAGTGCTAGATGGATATTAAGTACAGATACGAAATTTGAACAAGAATAGCAGCCACGTACATGTAAAGAATATAAATATTTATGCTAAGTTTGAAATCCTGTTATATATCCTACTTGGATAACACTTTGCATCACGCGACATGCTGTATATACCGGTATACTAACTGAAGGAATGTTCTTTATCTAATCGTAAAGTCTCGTGACACACATTCAATTTTTGCATGCTTTTTTCATACTTCAGTTATAAATGTAATGATTGTATAAAAGAATTTATTTTAACATCTTATGGGTAGACGAGCTGTCTTTTCAAAACAACTGCCATGGGTATGTAGCATATATTAAACTACGTGTAACTTTACTAACAACTATGATATTGAATGCAGCCCTGATATATGCGGTCGGTAGAGGGCGTTGAATGAAAGATCGTGAAAATCTGAAGACACCCTATAAATCGCTTGCGCATGCGCGCTTAGCGCTTAAAAATCAGTTCAAGAGTGAAAAGTTTTAATGCATAAGTCAATTTGATTTAAAATCAGATCCTTCGATCCATGTGTAGCGATCTATGTGAGCGGATCAAAGAATATGATTTTAATCAGATTGATGCATAAGCGGTCCTGACCTATCCAAAAAGGAGGGTGGGTATGGTTTGAACAAAATTGATTCTACACTAACTAAGGATATGTTTACATATTTCTTTGGCTATCTTTGACTTTTTATGCTCCTGTAATCATATCGAAGATTCTGAGGTAGGCCTTTATAGTTTTGCCCTGCCCGTCCTCTGTCAGTCTAATGGCAACAAAAGGCACATGGGCCACATAGCTCACATGAGTGACAAAAATCAGTTCAAGAGTGAAAAGTTTTAATGCATACGTCAATTTGATTTAAAATCAGATCCTTCGATCCATGTGTAGCGATCTATGTGAGCGGATCAAAGAATATGATTTTAATCAGATTGATGCATAAGCGGTCCTGACCTATCCAAAAAGGTATGGTTTGAACAAAATTGATTCTACACTAACTAAGGATATGTTTACATATTTCTTTGGCTATCTTTGACTTTTTATGCTCCTGTAATCATATCGAAGATTCTGAGGTAGGCCTTTAATTATAGTTTTGCCCTGTCCGTCCTCTGTTAGTCTAATCTATCTAGTCGAACCCTCAAACGGGGGTAAACGGAAGAAGGAAATCCGTACCTTCAAACGGGGGTACGCGCATGCGCAGACACTCAAAAAAGTGGCGTTTTCACGGAAAAACGTGTGGTCCACAAAATATGCTCGTGCAAAGTGATGGATTATTTCGTAGCTCTGTATGTACTCAAATTTGATAGATTAAATATGTTTAAAGAGATTGTATTGCGAAAAAATATATGTTTATTGCAAAAATCGAGACCTTTTCTCTCCCAAAGTTAGCGTATTCTGTGCATTAACCACCAGGTTTGATACAGCTAGATTTTTTTGCATAATTTAATAAAAACGGATGAATAAACAAACAATGTTTTGTTTAAAGTTAAACTACATATAATTCCGTTCCCAGGTATTACAAATTTTGTGTAATGAACATGTTATTAATCATTATTCGACACTTTCTTCTGTGCCCGTTCGAATTTCCTCTGTCCTGTAAACAAAGTTTTGTGCTTCAGAAATGAGGTAAATAAAAACGAAAAGTAATTTATCATTTTTTTTAAATTGAAAACAAAGGTGTAGACGAATCATTTTTGCATGTTTGTGAT